CCCTCCACCACCACCGCCGCGGCCGCAGCCCCCGCCGCCTCCTAGCCCCCCTCCTCCTCCTCCCCCGCAGCCTCCACCACCACCGCCCAGCCCTCCACTACCACCGCCGCGGCCGCAGCCCTCGCCGCCTCCTAGCCCCCCTCCTCCTCCTCCCCCGCCGCCGCCCCCGCCACCGCCGAGCCCTCCACCACCACCGCCGCGGCCGCAGCCCCCGCCGCCTCCTAGCCCTCCTCCCCTACCACCGCCGCGGCCGCCGCCCCTGCCACCGCCTCAGCCCCGCACCGCCATCTTCTCCCCCTCCCTCCCGTCTTGCATGCCGCCACCTTCGACGGAGCCGCCTAGCCCCGCACCGCCATCTCCGCCCCCTCCCTTTCGCCTGGCGTGCCGCCTCCCTTGCCTCCGCCGCCGCCTCCTAGCCCCCCTCCTCCTCCTCCGCAGCCTCCACCACCACCGCCCAGCCCTCCACCACCACCGCCGCGGCCGCAGCCCCCGCCGCCCCCTAGCCCCCCTCCTCCTCCTCCCCCGCAGCCTCCACCACCACCGCCCAGCCCTCCACCACCACCGCCGCGGCCGCAGCCCTCGCCGCCTCCTAGCCCCCCTCCTCCTCCTCCCCCGCCGCCGCCCCCGCCACCGCCGAGCCCTCCACCACCACCGCCGCGGCCGCCGCCCCCGCCGCTTCCTAGCCCTCCTCCCCTACCACCGCCGCGGCCGCCGCCCCTGCCACCGCCTCAGCCCCGCACCGCCATCTTCTCCCCCTCTCTCCCGTCTTGCATGCCGCCACCTTCGACGGAGCCGCCTAGCCCCGCACCGCCATCTCCTCCCCCTCCCTCTCGCCTGGCGTGCCGCCTCCCTTGCCGCCGCCGCCGCCTCCTAGCCCCCCTCCTCCTCCTTCCCCGCAGCCTCCACCACCACCGCCCAGCCCTCCACCACCACCGCCGCGGCCGCAGCCCCCGCCGCCTCCTAGCCCCCCTCCTCCTCCTCCCCCGCAGCCTCCACCACCACCGCCCAGCCCTCCACCACCACTGCCGCGGCCGCAGCCCCCGCCGCCTCCTAGCCCTCCTCCTCCTCCTCCCCCGCCGCCGCCCCCGCCACCGCCCAGCCCTCCACCACCACCGCCGCGGCCGCCGCCCCCGCCGCCTCCTAGCCCTCCTCCTCCTCCTCCCCCGCAGCCTCCACCACCACCGCCCAGCCCTCCACCACCACCGCCGCGGCCGCAGCCCCCGCCGCCTCCTAGCCCTCCTCCCCTACCACCGCCGCGGCCGCCGCCCCTGCCACCGCCTCAGCCCCGCACCGCCATCTTCTCCCCCTCCCTCCCGTCTTGCATGCCGCCACCTTCGACGGAGCCGCCCGGCCCCGCACCGCCATCTCCTCCCCCTCCCTCTCGCCTGGCGTGCCGCCACCTTCGATGGAGCCGCCCAGCCCCGCACCGCCATCTCCTGCACCGATACCGCCTGGCGTGCTGCATCCCTTGCCAGAGCCGCCCAGCTGCCGAGCTCCCACCTGGCGCGCCGCCTCCCTCGCCTGCTCCTCTCAGCCCCACGACGCCATCTTCTGCACCGCGGTGGTTATCCGGAGGAGTCTTTCCTGGCCGGGATTGGCCCCAAAGCTTCCTCTTGGAGTGCCCTGTCGCGTGTGAAGGTTGCATGTGGGATCGCATGATGATTACATGTACGTTAGGTGCGATTCGTTGACCTGCTGTTGGAGACCTGGTGATACGACCCGTGGGACATGATTGTGGAAATCCGTGCGGGTTGTGCCATGGCTTCCTTATAGAGTGATTATCAATGCAGTGTGGGGACATTTCTGTGACACCGGTAGGGGAGGAGGTGAAAAGACCTAAGGGGGGCGTGGGAGGGAATCCAGCGCGGATTGGCCTAGACGTTGTCGCCTGTTGCGGCCGAGCTATCCCTGGATAGCTCTTTGCATAGGCTATCGAATGGTGTCATTGCGGTCGCGAAGTTCAACGTGGGTGAAACATTATGCCGTACGCGGTGCCGTACGACTGGTGGTTGGTGGAGGGCGGTTTGTGACGTGGATGCCCATATCTGCTCCATCCCTTTGCTGTTTTGAGCCCGGATTGCGGCTATGGCTTCCTCTTAGAGTGCTCATAGATGTGGCAAGGTTGCATGTGTTCGCGCATGAGGTTTAGCTGTGCGTTTGGGGACATTTCTGTGACACCGGTAGGGGAGGAGGTGAAAAGACCTAAGGGGGGCGTGGGAGGGAATCCAGCGCGGATTGGCCTAGACGTTGTCGCCTGTTGCGGCCGAGCTATCCCTGGATAGCTCTTTGCATAGGCTATCGAATGGTGTCATTGCGGTCGCGAAGTTCAACGTGGGTGAAACATTATGCCATACGCGGTGCCGTACGACTGGTGGTTGGTGGATGGACGGGTGAAACCGGCAAGCCCGTTTTGGCCCCATCCCTTTGCTGTTTTGAGCCCGGATTGCGGCTATGGCTTCCTCTTAGAGTGCTTATCAATGCAGCAAGGTTGCATGTGTGCGCGAGTGAGCTTTAATTGCGCGTTTGGGGCTAAATGTGTGGTACCGGTAGAGTGTGTTGGTGCTCAGCCCCCTTGAGGGTGACGGAGGGAATCCGTGCGGGTTGTGGCCTAGAGTTGTTGCATGTTGCAACCAAGCTATCCCTGGATAGCCCTTTGCATAGGCTATCGAATGCTGCCGGTGCGGTTCTTAACGGTCGAGTCGTTGAAGAGTTATGCGGTACGACGTGCCGTACATTGGTTGGTTGGTTGGAGGCCGCGTAAACTCGGGAGGCATGGAAATGGCCCTTCCCTTTGTCTTCTCTTACCCCGATTGCGGCTACGAGTCCGTTATTGAGTGCTTATCAATGCAGCACGGTTGCATGTATGCGCGAGTTAGCTTTAATTGCGCGTTTGGGGCGATTTCCTGAAGGTCTCTGTCATGAAGTGACCCGTGGGTCAGTTTGGCAGCACACATTACTGTTTTGTACGCTTGCTTCGCTCTCTGCTTGCCTTTTTCTTTTCCCCTCATTCCTCGGCGCCCTTTCAATAAGGTGGTTGTGCTAAAAGTACTATAAGTTTTCCCTCCCTCCTCCACATGCTTGAAGGACTGCATCCATGTCTCCCCTTCCCATTGTTAACATGTTTAGCTGCGCTCATATGCCATGCTGTTTCATGCGAACTGATGCTCTATCGGCCTTCAGTGCCACTGGGGTTCATAGCCCCGATAGAGGGACCGACAAGATGTTTTGGCAAGTCATGAAGAGGCCTGGTCGTGTAGAAATCTCCACTGTTTGACACCGATAAGAGACCTGGCCATGGACATGCAACACTTGTAATTGGAAGGCGTTGCCGCATAGGTGTCACGATGATAAAGAAAGCGGCATTTGTACGGCATGCTGTACATGTACGGCAATCCACCTATGTACGACAAGCCACAACTGGCATCTAACTTGGAAAGATTCGGCGAGTTGTCCTTGTTAATTACACTCTGGGAAAACGGAGCGTTCGTATTTTGGGGAGAATTCGTAATCTAGGCCAAACCATTCGTATTCTAGGCCATGTGGGCTTTACGAATGGTGTTCACACAGACATGCACCTAACCCTCTCACTGGGTGTATTTAAGTCCTATATTGTGTTAAAATCCACGCCCCACCTAAAGTGCACACATGTGCACACACGCACTCTGACTCCCTGTTTTCCGTATTCCATCTGGCACGATTCGTAAAATTGGGACACCCGTCCGTATCCTGGCACTGGCCCATAATACGGAGTATCCCCAGCCGAGAACAGGTGTAATGCAGGTATACGACGTGCTACAGGAGTCCTTATGAAATTGTTCTGACAGGTTTACGCAAATTTAGTACCATGCGGCATGGACAGGTGGTACCTTACATACACAACTCATCCAAAGTGTGCTCTGGGAAAAGCACGGAAGGACCCGTCACCCAATGGCAGGTCACTTCACGTTCCGCCACCACATCACCACACGACTCTCATACGAAGAAACCGGCCCCTCATGCCAGCATGGCCAATATTTTGCCAATATTTAAGTTAACATACACTGCACGGACAGGCCTACCTAACCATAGCGTAACCCTACAATACATACTGCTCTATACCTACGTGTCTGCATGCCGTGGTGCCACGAGACTGGCATGATACAAAGTACCTTAGGCCCAGCATGCACAAGTCAAGTCATGTTTGGTCCTGCACACACACGCACCTACGCACGCCAACAGTGCACCCGCGAGCTCTGCACGCGGTCTAATAAAGCATTTTAAAGCCTAAGCCATGCCGGCGGACCCGCTGTAAGCGGCCGTGGTGACACGATACTGGCACACAATACATTCGGCACCACAGCATGCACAAGTCACCATGTTTGGCCCGGCACACACAAGTAACACTCCCTGCAAAAATGCAAATTCGAGGTCCTAGTTGCCCTACCTATAGCCTAGCCTAACCCAACCTAGCCTACCCTGTCTAACCTAGCCTGACCTACCATGACTCCTGCCTCCCATGCATTGTACATGCCACCTCCCCCTAGGCCATGCACTTCCTCTTTCGACCCCGCACACCGCCTTCCCCACGCTGCTTGCTCTCCACGCAGGTTCCCGAGCTGTTGGAGCTCCCGCCAGCCTGAGCCGTGCTAGCTGGTGTTGCGATGCCCCCCAGCAAACTGCACATCTTTTGCCGCCACTGGACAGTGGCTCCGGTCGCCAGCAGAGAGTTGACCCCGCCTCCATCCTCCAGCAAAGACCGGATGGTGGCAATGCGCACCGTGGAATCCAGCCTGCGCTTGTATAGAGCAGTCAAGCCCTCACCCATGCGGGCAATGCCACCCTCCTCCTTCTGCACGGCGGATCGCAGGAGGGAGTGCAAAGCTCAATGCGCTAAAATTTGCAGGAGTGTCGCAGGAGATAGCAATTCCCCCATTGCTAAAACAACTCAACACAAGTAACCGTGCAGAAAGTATTACAGCAAGTATTACAGCACGTCATATCCTAGGTGTAGAAAGACGTACCTGCAGCGCTTTTGCTACTGCCACCTCCGCCCTGATGCGGTTCTCCATCCACGCGATGTAGCCCTTGTTGAAAAGGACCACGCACCCCTCGAAGCTCTCCGAACCCCCGGTCTCTGCAGCACGCCGCAGCAGCCGCTGAGCAGACTCCTGGACGAGCCCCTCGTCCTTACTGCCGACCAGCTTTGCAGCTGCCGCTGCCGCTGCAGCGGCACGTTCCTCCTGGCAGGTCAAGGCAGTCGCCTGCACGCAGGCCAGCCACTGCGCCTGGCTGCAAACCGTGTAATTTACGGATACCGTTGCATCCACGTTGTATGCCGCATGGACACAGCAGGGCGGCACCACCCCGACCTCATTGTCTCTGAGCTCCAATACCTCCCCGCCAAACACAGAGCACAGAGACGCTAGGAGCGCTGGGTCCACTGTGCTCATGGACCGCACCAACAGGTCAATGTCCGCCTTTTTGTACTTAGGGTTCTCAATCAGGGTGCGGAACGAGCCGGGAGCGATCCACACAAGCTTGTGGCCCTTGAGAACTACGATTACACTTGGTGCCGCCATGGGATAATCCTCATGCGACCCCGTCAGTGAGCCCCTACAGGGATGCACAGCCACAAAGGAATAGTAATAGATCCTCTCAGCTAGCTAGTCCATGGGAGCGGTTTCTTTTCCATGCATTTATATCCCTTGCCCTACTCCCTTGCCCTACTCCCCTGCGTACACGCACCCCAGCCAGCCCCAAAACGACGCCATTACCCGCTTCGCCAGATCCCAGTGCTTTTACTCATAGTGGAATCCCTCCCCACCCCACTCCACACTCCACTCCCCGCCCCCCCGAGGCTTACTTGCTTCCTGCTAGCATATCGCACACCGCGGTGTTGAGCCCATGGTAGACCTCCGTTGCCCCCACGCCAGCACGGTCGAGATAGGTGTCTGTAGCAAACAGGTGTGGTAGCGAGGCCCGCAATGCCCTGGCAAACCGCTCCGCCCTCTCACTTCGCCCTGGGTTCAGCGCCTCGGCATCCGAGATTGGCCTGTTTGGCAAGGGGTTGTGTAGGCCCCGGTGATGGCAAGGAGAGGTGAAGGCGCATGCTTCAAAATCCGTGGCGAACAGGTAAAGGAATGGTGGTAGAAATGGAGGTACCGTGGGTATGTAAGTTGTGTACTTTCTGACAGCAGTATCCCCTGTTATCACTGACAATAGCATCCTCTGTTCTCCCACGGTGCACGCATGCTTAGCCGTGGTCGGCAGCCCTCACATCCCCACATTCACAGAATAAACCCCTCTTACCCCTGTGTCGCACCACCGCCATACCGCAGTGCATGCACCAGGGTCAGGTTGCCGCAATATCTGATCAGGCCGTCGTCTATGCTGCCAGTGACCTCGGCTAGATGCTGGTGAAGGGGAGCATCCCTGATCTCCTTCACGGAGTGTACAGCCCTTGCCTTTCCAGGCTCGTACTGGGGGGGGAGGAGGGAGGAACATCAAGGGAGGTAGGGTGGGTTAGGAAAGGTACCCAGGCGGGTAAGAGGGATCATAGTTGGTTGATTCAGTAGGTGGACAGCAACCGAACAAGGGCCATGCATTCCAGGTATACCACGCAGCTCGTGAGTCCGTGTTCCAATGCCAATGCCCCAACATCACCAGCCATGCTCGACAACTTACTTAATGCTTTACGGCGACATGTTATGCATATTAGTCTTCGTATCGATGATAACCATGTCGATACGTACCAGTACAGTCTGCTGCACCGGGCATTCGCTCCCGGTCAAAACGTCCATTAGCTCCTCCTTTGCTGCGTTGAACTCCTCGAAGCCCGGCTTCCCCACAAGAGATAGCTTTTCCGCTTGAAATAATGCACTGCTGAGAACCGGCTTAGTTGCTTCCTCGCTGAAGCATGGGCGGCCCTGTTTGTATGCGACATCAAGCAGTGCCTTCTCCCTAAACACCTGCATAGCCTAGTATATATAAGTTATGAATCGACTATCCTTGAAAGTTGAACGCGCTCTTTGTCGATGTGTGCGTAACAACGCCTTCTAGCTGGGCTCTGTTCACGCACTGGACGCTACGTATGTACATGTACAAGGAACTAATACAGTAGTGGAATGCAAAGCGAGTTACCAAGCAATAATAGCCCAGACGATCCAGCTGTCGTACCAAACATGAACACAAACTTTGTGTGTCAAGTTAACGACAGTTCGCCAATATTCTCGCATCCTCCACCACAGCGGCCCTATCTGGTTATTCTGTAACTGTCATAACGAGCGCTGGCACAACGTACACTGTCCACACAGCCTAGGTTTCAAGCAATGGATACCACCACCAAAATTCCGGGATTGACCCTGAAGCGCTGCCGCCCTACACCTGAATGGGAATGCACGGCTTGCACGGTCCGTATCACCAGGGCGGACAAAGCCAAAAGGCACGTCAGGTCTTGCAAGATGCAAGGTAGCACCCTGCTGCTTCAGCCCCAGCCTCCCCCTGCGGCTCCTGCCCACGTTGCTGCTGCCCCCGCTCCTGATGAGCAACCATTCGAAGCCCTCGACCAGCCCCTTCCCGACCAACACATGGAACGTAAGTACATGGCTTTCCCCATGAAATACACATTCTTCTACATGGTAGCGGCGCCCTGCCTGTAGCAATACTGATACACTGAGACCCCATGACCCTGTGACCCTGCACACCTGCAGTCGACCCGCCAGCTGGCTTGCCTGAGCCCGCTGCTGAGGGCTCTCCAAGGCTAACCGAGGCACAGCAGGACGCTATGCTTGCCATCTTCCATGTAGAGGACGACAATGATATGGCAGGTGAGAGTGGGAAGGTCCACGTTGTTTAACCAGTGCGAGCATGGATTGACATCATCCATAACGCAGGTGGCGAAGCTTATCCGCCTGGGGATGACATGGAGCCGAGTGAGAATGGATACCCAGCGGACCCTGACGATCCAGTTAACATCTATGCGGAAATACTTAGCGCCTATGCCGACGTTCTGGAAGGAGGGGCAGCCGACTCACCCAACCGCAACCGCACTTCCCATTGCAGCCACTCACTGCCCCTGAATTGCACAGGGAAGCATGCATGCATAGCAGCCACATCTAGGTAGCACAGGTCCTAAGCAGTCCCCCCTTCCCCTGGCCAGATAGCCAGCAGCGGAAGGGGATGAACGGAAGGGAACGAAGCGGAACCATTAAAGCCACCCACGTGGGGCTGCCCCTGCCCCTTGCCAGATAGCCAGCAGCGGAAGGGAAGGGAAGCACAACCGCATGTCCCATTGCAGCCACCCACTATTCCTGTAAAGGTCCACCAGTTACACGAGATGGTCATACTTGCTTGCAGTATATCATGTATATCAATATAGTTAGCGAATCGCAATCTGGGGTTTGTAAGTTTACATGCTGTACCACACCGAGTATACTTCAAACTGCGCCCGGACTCTTCCTTTCATAGTCATATCCACATAGCTATTTAGACATACTATACCATTGCGATAGAAAGTCATGTTCACTGGTAAATAGGATTTTAGCTTGTGAGGTCAACAATGGCCTTGGCGACGGGCGCGGCTCCTATGGACGTCAACCTTCCGTCCTTTCCTAAGAACATTATGCTGGAAATAGTATCAAAGTCCGTGGAGGGAACGTGCCTGCATGACAGGCTCCCGCTTGCCATGTGTCCATGGAACGAGGACTCCCTGGCGGCTGCTCTTCAAAACGGTTCAGCTGATACCTTCTTCCTTTATGAAGGTAGGACATATTCCAGTTGCAACACTTGTATGCGGACTTGCAGTAAGGACTCTGTTTAACAATGTCGCTGGTCAATGTTCGCCCACAGAGGGTGGCGCGAGCCAACAGAGTGCGCGGATCGTTGCTAGCATCGCTCTGGTACTTAAGGACCATGTCCTGCGGCGCTTTTGTTGCCGCGCGGATGTCGTGGCGGCATTGGAGGAATTCAAGTGCACCATGCTAGTATGCGGCAGCTTTGCCGTTAACGAGGACGGCAGCATGGTGACTTGGACACTTTCCCACAGCAAGGCGTGCCGTGTGGCAGGAACAGAGCAGTCCGGATATGACGGGTGAGTGTGGAGGGGGTTTGGGACACTTTACGAAATTACACCGTCATAATACGGATCGACAAGCATAAAACGGGGGATTCGGCAGGATTGCAGGCCCATGTTTGCGTAGCTTGCTGGTGCGACATGTTCCTCTGACAAGACGTGTATGGGAACGATCTCCCGGCACTGGGGCTTAGCTGTTTGCAAACCCACCTGTGATGGGCCTATGTGACGTGACCGTGGCGCTGCACCTCCTTGCACAGGCTCACCCGGGTACAGGCGGACAACCTGGCGGCAAGGGCAGCGCCTTCCACCCTCACCAATGCAACGGGGGTCACAGCAGGAACGGAGGCGACCCGCTCAAAAAGTGCCACGATGACATTCGGCAAATTGGAGACGGCCGTGTCTGGGCTACTGGACCCAGCTGTGACCCAATCGCAGCGCATCCAGTATTGCAAAGCAATTGACGCTGAGTGCAGGAACGGCCAGAACTCGTTGGTGAGAGAAGGTGAGTAAGGCCGGGTTTGGGGCTCAATTGGTGGTGGCGCCACTACATGCTGCCTACTGTGTACTTCCATACATATTGCAATGCATGCTACCCCCTGCAACCATGCCCATTCTTAGTTCCTGTCGACCACCGCCTTTTACCCTATGTAACCTGATGCTGCAGTCGCACACGGGGTCTGGCCACGGGATGCTGGCAGTGGGCACCTTGTCACCCTCAGCGACATGTCAAATGCGCACGGGATTGCGTACACGGACCTGCTCGCGGGTAAGTGCGGGGCGGCAACATGTTAACGGGGCCCGGCAAGATAGTTGGCCGACAGGATTGTAAGCAGGGGGCGCTGTACAACAGCACTAGGCGGTGTAGTACAGTTTTAGTGCATTCTTTAGTACAGTGTGTAGTACATTCTTCGGGGTTGACGGGGGCATGCTGATACCACACATACCGATACCCATACCCATGCAGGCGGCGTCGTCTACAACATGCTTACGGTAGAGCCGGGTGACAACGTGCTGTATGCTGGCTTGCCCACGGAGGACGGTAACATCGCGGCCGTGGGCATGACTTTCAACTTGGAGCAGCTGCGGTTGCTGGTGGAGGGGGCGGCGAAGTACGACTACCTAAAGACGGATGCGGCAGCTCGGAAGGCAAGAGCTGCTAACCTGTACGAGCTTCCATCGCTCGAGGAGCTGTGGATGAAGGAGTGCCGCCCGTAAGCATTGCCTTTGCATCCGTGCTCTGGTTCATTGTGACTAGCACGATATCAGACAGGCTAAACCATGCTCCATTGTGATGCGCTACCTGGACAATTGTGGGATGCAGCTGAAATGAATCGCTTCATTGTTCCATCGTCCCTTTACATGCCTTGATGCTATGCATGCAACTGCTATCATAACACGCATCCGCTGCTTTCCTCAGTTACTCGTCCACCGCCAAGGCCAACGAATGTGGCAAGGGCAAGGGCGTGAACGACCCGAGGAAGGATTTGCAGGACAAGGAGGCTTACGTGGCAAATCTCAAGACGATGGCCATGCGCGGGTCCAGCCTCTACACGGGATACGCGATTGTGGGCGGGGGTGCGTCTCAAGCCGCTAGCTATACGGAGAAGCTCAGCAAGTCCTGCAAGGAGTACTTTGAGTCCAAGGGGCAGGTGAACGGGGCGTGGGCTCGGATACGGTATGTTGTACATATGGGCACAGATAAGGGTATGATTCATAATGTTAGGAAGGCGTAATGTTAGATTTGCCCGATAATTGTGCATGGGACAGTGTATGGTGACTGCTTGCTTGTTCCTTTGCGACATTCTATACCCAACACAGTGTACCGGCCAAGTTATTCTTCGTGTCGTGTCGTTGCCACTCATGCCACAGGCGGATGAGGAGGTTGCAGCGGCAATGGAGGGCGTAAGGGGTAGGTCCACCCAATGCACCCACTTGCAGTACGTACTGGAGGCGGGGCTCTTGTACAGCAAGGACGGGCAGGGACAGTACCCTATCGACTTGCTGAACAAGTGCCCTATCAAGGGCAATGCTGGTAGGGCCGCCGCGAGGATTCGGCAGTCCATGTACTTGCAGTACGCTGGGCGCCTTGGCGCGCTGTGCAAGAAGGATGCTCCAATCGCACCGTTGGGGCTGCTACTGGCGGTGGGAGCTTCATCCTCGTACAGGGAAGCTGGGGAGCTTATCAACCAGTACCGGGCGGCTAGGAAATCTGGTGGGTCACATGCAACGGCTGCTTGGGTCTCGGGCGTAGGGTGGGCGCTTGCTTTCACTGGGGACATGCAACCACAGTGGTGTTTTCCCAGCGCAAAGAACGTGCTTTTTACGTAACACACTGGCGCCATATGCAGGCAATCCGCCCGCTCGGCCAGTGGTGGCATTGGCGCGGCGCTTCTTTGGCATCGCGCCGGAGCCTCCGTCCGTCAACACAATCCCCAACACGGCTGGTGGCGTAGGCGTTCGGATTGAGGTCGACGGAGGTGGCGGTGCTGCTGGTGGCGCCACAGGCGGTGCCGCAGGGGGTGCTGGAGGTGCTGGTGAGGGAGTGGCCGCGCCCTTGGTGAGCATATACGGGGGGGGGGAGCCGTGGGAAGGACTATTCTGGTGACCTTGACCTTACAATCACATGGCTTGTTTGAGAGTATGCTTGCTTGCGGTTAACAGTTACATGCTGCCTATAATGGGCCCTTCAGGATCAAGGTGCGGCCCAGCCTGGTGCGGCGGCCACCACAGCGCACAGCGACGAAGAGGTACGTCAATGTGAAGCCTTCGTGGGTAGACATTTGGCTAAGGACTGCATGGCTCACACAGCTCGCATCTTCTGAGCATTTGAAACGGGTATTGGGTGCAATGTGCTGAACCGCCCCTTTCTTATCCCATGTTGTCCCGCAGGAGGAGCCGGATCTGGCGCTGATTAACTTGGATGTCTTTGGTGTCGAGCCGCCAGTGCAGCAGCGTGCGCCACGGGGTCGGCAGCGGGCGTCTGGTCTGGATGACGACCTCGGAGCCCGTGGTGGCAGGAAGAAGCAGCGGACCGGGGCTGCTAAGGTGGCGAAGAGCGGTCGTGGTGGTGGTAGCGGGAGGGGAGAAGTTGGCGGTGGAAGAGGGCGTGGGCGGGGCGGCAGGGGCGGGGGGAGGGTGGCGGCAGTGGTTGAGTCGGAAGAAGAGGAGGATGGGGGTGACGAGGAAATGGAGGACGACGAGGAGGCAAGCGGGGAGTCTACTGGGGAGGGGCAGGAGGATGACGTGAGTGTCCGGGATACATCGGATGACAGCAGCAGCAGCAGCGGCGGTGGAAGCAGTGGCAGCAGCGGCGAACGGGCGGGCGGAAACCGGCAGCAGGACCGTAGGCAGCAGGAACTAGAGCAGCAGCAGCAGCGGGGTAAGAAGCAGCAGGCAGCAGTTGGGGCGGCAAAGGTGCCCAAGGCAGGAACTGGGTCGAGTGGCCAGTCTCGGCGTGTGCGGGCTAACCGCTAGATAGAGGCAGACTGGGAGTAGGTTGTTTGCAATGGGCATAGAGTAGCTGTGAGTGGAAACATGGTTCGTAGATAGGTGATCCAAAGTTGGGTTGGGTTGGCTTCACGTGGTGTACCTTTTGTATTGGTTTGGCCGTGATTGCTTGGATGATTTATTATTATAAGCTTGGATGACTTGATAGCACAAACCTGATACCCATGACCATACTTCTTATCTACCTGCAATTTTTGACGTGCATGATCCTATTTCGTTGCAGGGGCGTTGGAGTAGGTTAGTTCAGGGACTGTAGGCAAGATGTTTGATATAGATAGGCAATGGAGTAGATATTGGACTATGGTAAGCTAGCTTATGGATTGCATTGGGGGCGTGGGGCTTCCAGGGGCGTGGTCCCTTCGTATAATGGTGGTGAGCATTCGTAAAAAGGAGGAAGGGACTAGGCTCATATGCAGCTTCTGACCATGTAACGAAATGGTGGAGTTCAAAATCATATGACGCATCTCCTACGATTGTCTAACAAGCTGCGTATCCTTACTGACAGGGCTCCGTATTCCCTCGTGGGCTATCCGTAAAATTTCGTATTCCATCCGTATAATAGTGCCGTATTCTTGCAGTCCCCATCCGTAAAATGAGAGTTGCTTCCGTATTCGAGGTACAGGGGGCATAGCATGCTACCGCCTGTTTGTGCTACACGTGCTCCGGACACTATGCGGAAGTGTTCACATTCACTCTAGTGCATGTAACCGTGGGACTCCTGCATTACAGGCAATTCGTAAACCTTTCCCCACCATTCGTATCCCTTTCCGTATTCTCTGTCCGCCTTTACGGAAGATACCCTTCCGTAAAATGGGGTCAAAATACGGAAAGGTAGACCCCCATTTTACGAATGGGTGGACCCTGGTTTTCCCAGAGTGTTACTTTACTTCTTTTACTTTAACAGTAGACTGTTTGTTACATTATCATTACAACAGATAAAAGAAAGCCCATACGTGCAAGGATAGCGGCCGGCACGCGTCTCATTATCTGTTTCTTATTCAAAGAATCTCTAGTCTTTTAGTTACAAACAACGTAGAGCAAAGCCATTGGTCAGAATCGTATGGCAACCTCTTCTTCGCAGGTACGTTTTCCTTAGCGCGGCTTCGTAAAATATTACAAGCATAACAGACGATTGCTATTGTAAAATGTATGTCAGCAGGGCATCAGTAAACGGGACTTGAACCAACAGAGGAAGGCAGACAAGTCGCGCCCCACAGCAGCGGTTCCAGAGTGCCACCAGCCCGTGCTTGAGGGCGACCCTTGCTTTAGCATTAACTACAGTGAACACCAGTACGCAAGGTTTGGGGTCCAGAACCCCTTCTTCCTTGGCCTATTACGCTTCCGACCTCAGCAGCCGTACGACAAGTCCTCATTCAAGCGCCAGAGAACATCTTCATGCAGCAGCACCACACCAGTTGACATCAGCTATGAGGACGCAGCAGCCACCTGTCGTACCCTAGTGTACGGCAGTACCCCAGGCACTGCCCCATGCCCCTCATCGGGTTTGGTACCGGTAGAGGCATCACAGCAGGGATGCAGCACTCGCCAGCGGCGTCCATCAGCACGCGTGCGTGAGGCTGCTGCGGTTCAGCTGGGGGAATCACCTCCCACACCAGCCCAGGATCCTCCTGAGCTCAAGGACCAGTTGCTTCCTGTGTTGGCAAGGGCAACGGGCAGTAGCGGCCTTTGGGACACGGCTGTGGGTTGCCCATGTGCGAGGTCCATCAAGATGCTAAGCAGCATTGCCAAAGTTTGCCTAAAACCGGCGTTTCCCCACTCCTACATCCCAACATGGCAGCAAGAGCAGTGGCACAGAGCAGTGGACACACTGTACGACAGGGTCAAGCATCGCAGGTCGCTCAACAAGGAGGACGTCGCAAGGGCTTGCCTGCTTCTTTACCCTCTGCATGTGAAGGTTGGCAACACCTGGCGCAGCTTGTGTCTTACAGTGAAGCTGCAGCCTCGAACGGATCCAGCTGACAAGCTCTTGCGGTCCTTGTTCTTCCAGCAGCAGCAGGGCGTGGACAGCTATGTCTCCTGTGTGATGGGCCAGGAGGGCAGGAAGCAGCAGCAGATCGATGCTTTGCACCGTGTGATGGTTTGGGCGGTGCATGGGCCCACGCCAGTCACTCTGCCAGGACAGCAGCCTTCAAAGCAGCAACAGCAGCAGCAGCAGCAGCAGGGACAAGAAGAACAGCAACCAACACAGCAACAGCAGCCAGCAGTCATGCATCTTTGCGACTGCCGTACATGCATCAACCCCTGCCACGTTTGGTGGGGCACAGGTTCCCTCAACAGGAAGGGTGACTCCAAGGCCTACAAGACGGTAGTTGAGGAGACCAGATCACGCACCGCTCAGCAGCAGTTCCTCCCTGACGGCACCCCCGTGGAATTCCCGTGATGGTCCGCGTACGGCGTGGAGCAACGAGCAGCAGGGCGGACAGCACCCCTCTGAGTCCGGGGATTTACCGTAGCCAGTCGCGGTCTTGGCGGTGTGGGGCAAGGGGGCCAGGGGGTGACCCACGGGTCGCTTTACGCACGACAGGTGTGGAAACACAGAGCTGCATGTGGTAGGCGTTGGTTGAGTTGTGCACGTGGCAATACTGCTACACGGACAGCGCTGTACTAGATAGATCGAGAACTGCTGCATGTTACTGCTTGGGGGAATCATCACGGATATATACATAGTTTGTCTTCTGGCTGTACGATACATGATGGGGGAGTACTTGCCTGGCAACACGCCCCTGCTGATGGGCAGCAGCGGTGCCGCCGTGGCTCGGTCGGTACCGGTAGTTGGCATCGCAGACAGAGCAGCGGCGTTCTTGGGAGAGACAATCGTATTATTATTGTTGTAACGTGCTCATTGGTAGCGTCTCTGCCTGCTGCAATGAGCATGAGGAGCGGCGGCCGTAAGCGCTAGGCGCTCAAAAGCAGCATCGAAACTTTTCAGCGAGCAAGCACAAAGTTCTATTCTTGATTGAAAGAGCATAATTTATTGAATCGATATCAGCAGCTTGCGGCAAATAAAAGTGCTTTTTAGCATTGGCGCCAAGGGGCAAAACCGCAGACGAACAAGCTCTGTGGCCGATTTTTTAGCCAGCTTGAAAGGATACAGATAATAACAAATAAGACCATTGTCTTGCCTTTGGCAGGAACGCTGCACAGTCGAGCCTTGGGCGGTTCGTGCTCGGCCCGCGCGCAGTTCTCAGCCCGGCCTTCATTTGAGCCGTCATATACCCTGCATGCACAAATAATATGAATGAGGACATGCTTATGTGTGTATGAGTGTGCAGTTGTTTGTTTGCGTGTGTGATAAAGCATCGTCGCTTGTAGTTGTGGTCGAGGAGCGAGGAAATTTTTTCCCGGCTTCTAATGGCTTGGTTTCTCTCTTTTCCGTACCGTTGACCGCGGCTTTGAATTGATTATTTCCTTGCTTGCTTGGCTTTGCGATCGGGCTGGCTGATTAGGGTAATATGATGTTGTTGAATCGATTGGTGTTGTTTCGGGCAGCTATCGTTGTTTGTATGTATCGCAAATCGGCTTTTGTGTAGGTAGTGTCCTTTGGCTGGCGTGGTGTTTTTGCGCGTGCCGCATGGCATGTTTGCGGGCTCCTTTGCGGCTTCCCCCGGTTGCACTGCACTTGGGTGTTGCATGCCTAGGCATGGATGCGCGGTTGTGGCTGCGTCTCCACGTGTAGAGGGCCTTCGTACACGGTCAAAGTGTGTCACTTTTCCCGTGTGGTTTCGGGGCTGCTTCCCCTTCCCGCAAGGCCCTGCTTTGGGTCTGGGGCTGTTGGCGAGGTTAATGATATGTAGCGCTGCTGCTGTTGTTTGGTCATGATGAGAGCCTGGGCGGTATATGGGAAGGTATGGTGCTTCTTGCCGTATTATACCCATTAGCTTGGGTACGCGCGTGGGGTCGAATCCCGGACCCGACACATAACGTTTTAATCCGCGGCCGGCCGGCCGCTGCCGGGTTAATCCGGGTTAATCCGGGTTAATCCGCGGCCGGCCGGCCGCTGCTGAGAGCTGTGCTCTGCTGTGCGTGTTTGTGTGCGGTGCATGCGAGAGGAGCGAGGTGTTTCCTTTCTGTTTGCTTGAATGTTACAGTGGTAGTCTACCACAACTACTCCATGCCTGTGCATGCTCTGCCCAGCTGCTCTATCTCCTGCCTAGTAATCACTGCTAGCCTGCTGCGTCGTTGTCAAGCCCACCACCTGCTCTCTCACACACACACACAGTACCACCAGCGCACTCAATATGCCTGCCTGCCTGCCTGTCAGCTTCCTGCTGAAAACGCCCTGCTGCTCACACCAACGTCATGCTCAGAATGCTCACACCTGCCTGCCTGCCTGCCTGCCTGCCTGCAACCCCACACAACAACATGAACAACAGCACTGGGTTCAACGATATCTAGAGAGAGACATAGATAGATAGAGAGAGGAATATAGGTAAGAGACAGACACGCCAATGTGCAGTCGCCGCCATGCATAATAACAACTAACAACACCCCTAACAGCCTGATGACCCATGGGTCATATGTAGCCTAACCGCCGTACTACACACTGTTGTCGTCGTACAAGAGCCAATTAAAGGCAACCACCTGCTGCTGCGCTACCAGCTCCGCTTGTTCCCAGCCATAGGCACCATGTACGATGGTGACACGTCCCAAAGAACTACTACTACTACTACTACTACTACTCACTAGGAAAGAACGTTGCTGCTGCATGAATAGCAGCAGCATGTACGACATGAGCATGGTTTGCATAAAACGACGGGTCGCCATCTATCATCACCACAGCAACCGTGCAACTGTTGGCAAAATCACACACAGAGACACGCTCGCTTAAACCAGGTCAAATCAGTGCACCACCACCACCATCATCATCATCATCATCATCATCATCATCATCATATAGGACAGAGTCGTGTTATTGGGCACACACATGCATACAACCTGCTTGCCAACACTGCGGTGTCCTTCTCTTCATGCAAACCTGCTGTATGTGCGGCGCACTACATACAACGCGCGTGCATCAGGAGCAGGAGCTCTTAACCAAAAGATAACACACGTACATACTACAACATCATCAACCCGAACGGTGCCTCCTATCCGTCCCCTAGTGGGGCACCTAGCTAGTTAGTTGGGGACCACCTCGAGGTTATCTACGCCCACGTTTAGAACGTCTCTGTCCCTGTGCGCTAGCCTGCATACAGCCTCCTGCAGGGGCCCCACGTAAGGCTCCGCGCAGGTGAGGCCTAGCTTCTTGACTACCTCCACTGGCATCCAGGTGGCCGCTACAAGCCTGCGCACCTGCACCCGTCGCTCATCCCCAGACGCCGAGCCAGGAAACCTAACCGTTGCAACCGCGTGGCCCGTTGTTCTATGACGGGTAACGGCCACAGGCTTGTAGCCCGCCGCCCTCAAGGACAGGACCTTGCCGCACCTGCTGACAAAGGTGGCGGGGAGGCCATCCACCTTCTTGTACTCCACCCCCCCGTGCCGTACGAACACCTGCGTGTTTGGGTGGGACGACGGGGGTGATGACGGGGGTGATGACGGGGGTGACGGGGAGGGGAGAGAGGGTGTACGGCAACCTTCCAGTTCGAGCAGCAGCGGAGGTGCTTGGATGCAGGTTTGGCCAAAAAGTATACTGCATGCACTGTAACGCACTCGCAAAACACCTGCTACATGCTCTGCCAAAAGACCCCTCTTACGTTGTCTCGTACACATTCTAACTAGAAAGCCCATCTCACCTCTCCAGCAGACGCAGGGGCAGCGGATGATCTGCAGGGTGACAGCCGCCCCGGCGGTTCTTGATGATGGCTGTGCGTGCTGCTGTGGGTTGCCCGCCGTCTGAGCTGCCGTACCATGTCGAGAGCTGAGCTTGGTGCGTGATAGCCCAAAGCACTGGGAGCAGCGGCGGCAGCGGCGTCGTCCATCACAGCGTCCGAAGCAGCAGCAGGAGCACTTGATGATCTGGAAGAAACGCCGGTGGCAGGAGCCTGCATGTACGGCAGCATTCATTGGGCAGGGGCGGCAAGGAAGAGGGTCAGACGCAGACGTGAAAAGGGACATGCACGGAAGAAGGGACGTGCATACACGTCTGCTCTGCTGTGCCGTACATCCCCTCCAATTGATCAAGGCATTCACTGATGAGGCGGGAGGGAGCAGCAGCTGGCATCACCAGTGCATATGCAGAGAGCACTGCACCGTTTTCCCTTTTCCCTAATAAGCAAGCGCTCACCTCGGCGTCGCTCCTAGCAGGTGCTGCTGCGCCCCCCCTGCTGGAAGAGGCTGCTGCCGTGCGCCCACGGGCGACAGTGTTGCGCAAGGACTTGAGGGCCTTGGGCATCAGCTTCTGTAGAACCTCCACCCGCGACAAGCCCCCCGGTGGGTTGCTGGCTGTCTGGTAGCCGCGGGAACCAAGCAGCGACTGCATCGCC